CTTAGCTCCCTCAGCCACCTCGTAACGTTCTCTTGTACGGAATCTATACAGTCAGAGACTATCAGTTTGCTGATCGTCAGCAAACAGGCTGCACGAACAAACCAACAGACAATTGACAATTGTTATATTTCGTATGTGTAATGATCTTATGTTTGTGTGTATGTGTTATGCCAATGCGATTTCGTTTTATTGTAATCAGAAAGTAAAGATAATAGTTTTTGATTTTCTATTTGAGCTTTCTCTTATTTTCGATTAAATGTTATTTCTTGTTACAGATAAAGTTTTCGTCACCGTAATTTATTACTCTGGAGCTGCCACATTGAAGCACGAGTTTGAGAATTTGTCAGTGAAATACCTTCGCACCAAATTGGACAGAGGAAGACTGAAATATTAGTAAGCATTGCCTGTATATGAGGATATGGAATCAACTGCCGATATTCGAATGATAGTTCAAGTTGTTCGACCTCATCTACCAAAAACTTCGTATGTTATATTTGGGACCATCTGCAGGTGAGACTGCGGGTTTCATTGCTTTTACTGGTTGTGCATTTGCTTAAAATTTTTATAGGACGACGTTTCGGTCCCAAGGGTGAACTTCATCTAGTTAATTGAAATTTATTGACAGTATATTTTATCTGTCTTCCAAGTGTCCCTGCGTTGTTTTTTCCATTTATCTCCACTTCACTAGTACCAGGCGGTGATGGCCATGAGGTAATCACTGTGTGTGGTCAGTGCTACCAATTTTTGCTATAATCCCAATGTCGAATTTTCGACAGGATATACGTCCGCGTATAAGATAAGAAATGTTTCTGGGTGAAACAACTTGAGAAGCGTGCGCAAATTCTCTAGTAATTCAAGAATAGATACAGTGGAAAGTATCTCATATGGAGATGCAGTGAAGTGATCTACAAAAACAAAAAGAAAATATAGGCCACAACACACCATCAACTTTTGTCTTTTCTGATGACCAAGAAACCTTTCCAAACAAGGCATGGCTGGTTGTAACGAAGCAGCTATTCCAGTAGTTAATTGTTTACATTATACTACTTCTGTTTTGTGTTTCATTCATCAGACAATGGTTATATATTCGTTGGTGTTTGTGTTGAATTTCTGATTGTGTGTATGTCTTATGCCAAAGCAATTACGTTTTATTGTAATCAGAAAGTAAAGAAATATTGTTTTGATTTTCTATTTCAGCTTTCTCTTATTTCCTATTAAATTTCTTTTCTTGTTACAGATATGGTGTCCGCGAAGTTAGTGCTCAAGGCGGCAAAGATTTCGTCACCGTAACATATCACCTTAAGGCTCACATCGAAACAGAAGTTTTTGAATTTGTCGGTGCGACACCTTCGCACCAAACTAGACAAAGATGAAGACCTTGAATTATTATAAAGTATTGTCTGTAGGTGTAAGTTTGATTTACTGCCTGAAGAGATGAAATCAGCAGCCGATATTTGAATGGTTGTTCAATGTTTTCGACCTCATCTACCAAAAACTTCATATGTTATATATGGAACAACCTATAGGTGGTGTTACCGGTTTCATTGCGTGTCCTGGTAGTGCATTTTCGAGAGACAATATATCTTGAATATGATTGTCTGGCCAATCAAAACGACACATATGTAAAATTCTTTCTTGGACAACCATTCGGTTCCAACGGTGACCATCATCGACTTTAATTGAAATTTATTGGCAGTATATTTTATTAATCTTTTTTCCAGTTTCACATTACTTTACAGTGTGTTTGTTCTATTACAATAGTCCGAAAGGTCCTGTAACATGCTAAGATTCCGCGAAGCAATCATTGTAATTTTAGGATGGTTCTGCGCAAAACTAGCTGAGCCCAGGACTGCTTGGGTTAGGCATTCCCGTCCCCAAAAGAACGTCCAGCTTTCTAAATCGATAAGCGAGCATAAGGTCGTTTTCAATGTACCAGTCACGTCACACTCCCCCATCGTCCCGAACATGCCAAGTCCAACGAAAACGTGAAGACAAAACCAGAACTGTATTCCTAACACATTGGTTAGTTGTTATGTAATCTTCGACTAAAATGCTGCACGTGATGTGCATTTATGGATCTGAATAATATAAGACGCAACAGTTTGGCCGTGAGGTGCGAAGTAAAATGTCTACGGAATTGACATCTAATAACAAACTATAAAAAAAACCTTGAAAAAGGTCATGGTCTGTTAGTTATGTTGGAGAATACAAATTAGTTCTTTCCTTCAAGGATACTCAAACAAACAACCAACAGTCCACTAGAGAAGTAGAAAGAGAGTTGTTAAATTTCATACAGACAGTTATTGTTATTACAAAAATAAGTTAAAGGAATCAGCCCGAATGAAGTGAGTGATGGTCCATCCGTGGGCATACAAAACAAAACAAAACCGGCAGCAAATTCTCACAAATCTATAGATCCATATTCTTCAGCTCCCGATTTTTCAACTTCAAAAATGCAGTATTGACAATACCGTCCTAAGTGCAATGCGAAACTTCTAGAACTACCTAGTGCCTAACATAAATCGTCTTCATAATTCTTCCTTTTTGTGAATTGGAAACTGAAATTGTTGATTATTACCGTATTTAATGCTGAAATAAACAGTTGGGGTTCGTGTTGCAAATCCCATGTCTAATCTCTCAAAACAGGTTATTCACCGGAACTTCCTACCAACTTCTGAAATGCCATTACTGATCAGTTTTTAGCCATGTATATAACAGGTTTGTACTCATAAAACACTCTTACATGAAAACTGTTTATTGTCCAAAAACGAAAATACGCATCTGAAGATGAGTAATGCAGTATAATTTACGAAATTTCAACTGTAATATGAACTTATAAAGTTAACATATGCCATTTAACAACATATTTGGTCTTCATATTCTACTACAAAAAAACACTTACATACTTATTACAGATTGTAGAACATTTATTGTCGTTGTGAGACGGGCTCATGTAACACCTACGTCATTTTTTACTTTAACAACTGCAAGGATCAAGAACTCTGGGCTGAGAAGTCGACGGCTTCTTTGCATGGCTGAACGAAGCTCCCTAGGTAGTCTTGGTTCCGATAAACGTCGTCTCAGATGAAGTTCAATTAGAGTTTGCCTCAGGGAACAATAAAATTTCGTCGCCTAATAGAATTTCCAGTCCCAGACCGGAACAAAAACAAAGGAATTTACAGAAGCTGTATGCATAATAGGATACCAAATAGTACAAGGCCATCTTCTCGTTCTTTAACCTGTATTGTAATTTACATACTTCCGATCTAATGCATCACCTCCCGCCTTCATGGAGTGATACAAATAATATAGAATCATATCAGGCTTCTTTGATTCTTCTACTATTTTGTTATCATACTGCAATACGAGAACGTGTTTCTTCGGTTTTAGAACTTCGACACTAAGGTTGTAGTGCAAGTGTACATAAACTTAGAAGTACCTGGCCGTGTTTTATTATTTAGAACTACATATTGAGGTATTTTTTTCTTATTTTTACGGTTCCTCCCGACATAGGTCAGTTGGCTGTTGCGCAATTCTACATCTAATTCTATTGACGTGAACCAGTGATGTGCGGTGATATTTCTGTTCGTTTAGACGAAAGCATTGAGCAGGTAGTGAGTATTTGCATCACAAAGGCATAGCATCTTCAGTCCCTACTTGTTCTGTTTAGTATTCTTGTATGTTCAGAAAGAACATCGGCCCACGAGCAACTCGTCTTTTGCAGGGACTCACCCATGATATAACAATTCCCTCAGTTCGGTATGAATATCTCAAACATTTCACGTATGGCGTAATGTATCTGCCTTTCTCGAGTCACTGGTAGAAATACTATGAAACCTCTATGTGGCTAGCAAAAACATGAACCTCTTTAGGGGCCTAGT